AACAAACTTAATAGACACTCACTAGAAGATGTTTCATGCCAAATATCTAAGCTCTAGCTCTTAGGGTTTTTTAAAAGAAGATATTTAAAGTTTTTTCTTTCGGTTGCCATGGCAACCAGAGTTCTGCATGGAATGGAATTCTTTGAACAACTTTGTTAAGGCTTCACACAAGGAACATCCCTGTGAAGTTTCATTATGATCTGCCTTATGGTTTCAGAGGAGATGTTGTTTTAAAAGTATGAACGGACAACGTACGACGGACGATGGACGACAGACGACGGACGAAGAGTGATCCTAATAGCTCACCCTGAGCATATGCTCAGGTGAGCTAAAAACAACAACAGATGTCTTCACAGTTGAACATTTGTATTTCAATAATATTCAGGTTGTTTTAATATAGAATAAGAGAGATAATTCTGCAATCAATCGTTAACTTTGCCAAAAAAGTATAACCGGCCTTTAATATATCATGACTATAGACCGATAAAAGAATTTTATGAATACTGTTCCTGTGTGAGCATAGTTTGATAAGTGCAAAGCAATATTTTTCAACCGTCTTAATCAACAATCTAAGCATCACGAAGATTGCGAGTTAAATATCGTATGCTACACTTTGGTTGACATCACAATTGATTTAATGGCAGGCACATAACGTGGGCATTTAGAGTATTTATTTAAATAAAAAAAACTTTTATCGAAATCGTGGCCCTACTTAACTTCAAGCCGAGCTAATCAATTTCATACTGAGTTTGTTTAACGCCATTTTACTGATGACGAAAGTTCATTTGCCTTTCGTAATTTAATCACACCAAATAAGGAACTTAAACGAGGGTCAGTCAACGACGAAATAATGATTAATATCGATAACTGAAAATGCCGCCAAATACGTTTAGAAGTGATAGCATATGGTATTATTAATTGATTCAATGGCAACAGCAATGATAACATCCCTTCGTTCTATTTGGAATCGTCGCGTAGATTTACGCATAATTTCGTGGAAGATGGCAATAGCGTATCCCGTATTTGAAACGATAAGGCATGATTGAAATTGGGAAAATAAAGTACTTTGATGCCTGTCAAAAGAAACCAGGCCAATTTAAAGAGATGAAGTAAAAAAATGTCAAAATCTGCCATTTTTACGCAAGTAATGCTTTCCCTCATTTAAAGCACACCTGGTATTATGACCGGTACTTTACAATCTCAGCCCAATCCCTTCATTCCCCGCCAAGCCACCCATTGACCTTAGTGACCAAAAGCATAGATTGTAGCTGAGTATTTGCATAAACGTTTCAAGACAGTTTCTGTTTTGTTTTCAACCAAGCCATGTAATATGCAACTAGTTATAACAAACTATTAAATAGAAACAATAACGGTCATTTAAGAAAATCATCTTATATAACATTAAAAAAATACAAATATGACTAGGTAAAACAGACAAAAAGAGATCAATACTCATTTACAATGAAGCAAACGGGAAAAGGGCTTGAAAACATGGATCATGCAGTTGACGCTTTACAATACCTATAAAGTGATAAAAATTACCTACTATCTGTAGATGAAAATATTCTGACATACCACGATCATTAAGAGTAGCTATCCAATATATTACAATATTTCTTATATTTTTATATACTTAATTAAGTTTACATATCTTATTGTCCTTAACATAGAGTAACTCCAGAAACATAAAACACTTGCTTTGAGTTGTAAGCCCAAGGGCGATATGCCCAATTTACTGTATACCATATAATTTACAAAAATGTAAATGAAATTTCTCCAAAGTCTGAATTTGTTCGTAACCCATAACTTCAATTCCATGTAGAAGGATCGATCGGATTGGTACAACTACAGAATTAAATAAATGCAATTGTTAAGATAAAACATTGCTATTTTTTCTGTTCTTAGTTCTAAAACCTGAATACTATCGAAGAATCATTTGTTACTCCTCCACATCTATTTTCAATTTACTATCGAAAACTATCGAAGAATCATTTGTTACTCCTCCACATCTATTTTCAATTAAGTTAGGATTTTTACCAAGTTTTATAACCATCTAAACGCGGTTGGTAAAAGTCATCTTCTTTAGTTTCATCAAAATGAACAACATAAATGTGGTGGCGCCCCTCTGTGTTCCTCAGATGTATGTCTCTGATGTTTCAAATTGTTTTGGTGAAATTTTTGTTTGTATCCCTAATTGTTTTTTCGTCTGCGGTAAGTTTCTTCCCTCTTGCCCCTAGTTTTACTTTTTTATTTTTTTGCCCCTTCCTTCCTCAAATCCCCTTCCTCTGTGGCCTTTTACTTTGTGGGCCTATCAATCTATCAATTATATGTTTTCTTTAATTACCTTGTCGGTTACTTTTATTTCTTTTTAAGTATCATTTATGTGATTATCCTGTCTGTGCTCTGCATTGCGCCCTGTCTTGTTTTTGTTTGGGGTCCTCCAAAGCTCCATGTCGCTGGTTCTTGTTGCTGGGTCGTTTGGAGGTTGCGTTCATTAAATGCCACCCTTCCTTGTTGATCTTTTTTTTAATTCAGTGTATAAAATCTCATTTGTTTGATTTTGAGATAGTATATATCCTTACTAACATTACAACTATATTATGATTATATACAAAGTTTACAGAATATATCCTTACTTACATTACAACTATTTTTTTAAATCAGTAATTATGATTATATACCAAGTTTTTGAACATTGTAACTATATCAAAAGCAAATTCTCTTCCCCAGCCCACCTCCCATTGTATAGAAAATTCTGCAAACCCTTTCATCATTTCTTTAGTTTGGCAAAACCTAAAACACGTTGTCTCCACTTCACTGTCTTCAACCTAAAACGAAATGATAAGAAGAGGCTTATATATGTAGACAACTTTAAAAGACTGCCGTGACACGAACCTGACAATGACGTGCTTCTTCTTGCTATTCTTAGGCCTCGTAAAATGACCACCACTAATGTCTGTCCAAGAGCCTGTTGTTGATTGCTCGGCCTACTAGTATGGCCACCAATGCTTCTGGATAAAGACTGAGATTCGTTTCTCTGCAGATTCATTATATGCTTACAATATGATTCAACAGATCAATTATGGCACCTATCAGGTCATCAGATAGTTCAAAGTTCCCAATCCTGATGTTTTCTCTTGCACTGTCAAGTTCAGAATGATTTACAAGAACATTATAAGAACAATATATTGGTCTTCACTTTCACAATTTAAATTCACTAGCAGAGTCCTTGAGCATGTCCTCTAGCTTATCAAAACAGGACATTCATAGGAAACCAGTCAGTTGTACCATTTGTTTAAAATCATCCTTTTTGTTTCTTTGTTTTTTCTGGCATTGTAACCGAATAAAGAAAAAAATCACTGAGTACTAGCGGTTTTGAGTAATAATAATACAGTTAAACGTTAGAAAATGTATTTTATGCCACCGCATGTGTGTTAAATAGATTATGTAGTAAACTTAAAAAATCTTCCTGTGGTAAACCACTAGTCGAATTTCAACTGAACTTGGCAGGATTGATCCTTTGGTGAAGGACTTCCAAGGTTTTCCTTATATGTATATAGTAAAAACTTTGAAAAATCCTCTTCTCTGAAATGACAAAGGCTAGACCTCAGATATTTGGCATGAGACTTTATTTAGTGAACCTCTACCAAGATTGTTTAAATTATAGCCCTGGTGTCAAAATTGGCCCCTCCCCGGGGTCATTGATTTTCACTATATAGATATGGTAAAAATTAAAACATTTTCTTGTCTGAAGGAACAAGGCTTAGACCTTTGATGTTTACTTTATAATATCATCCATAGAACCACTACCAAAATTGTTCAAATTTAGCTCCTGGTGCCAAAATTGGCCCTGCCTCGGGGCATTGATTTTCATTATGTACACATAGTAGAAACAGAAACAAATGTTTTCTGAATTGCAGAAAGCCACATATATTTGACATGAAATATTGTTTGGTGGACCTGTATCAAGATTGTTTGAATTAAACCCTTGGGTAAAAGTTTTGCCTTGCCCAAGGGGACAGTGACCTACTTTTTTGTCCTTTGATGTACAGCCATGTAATTTGGACTATATGCAAAGTTTAAGTTGTAAAATTGAACTATGATATCAGGTGACCTAGATTTTGATGATGTGACCTACTTTTTTTGTCCTTTGATGTGCACAGATTGCGTTTTTTCGCCGTCCCTATTAGGACGAAATATAATTAAGACGGCGTGACTACTACGCTTTTCGGAATTAAATTTACCTTACCAGAAAAACCTGTGGCAGCATCCACGATGTAATCCGTGATCACAATGTAAGTTAATAAATGTGACGATTTGGGAGGAAAATATACTGAAAAAAAAATCATACAATATCTTTTTCATGTAAGATATAAAATTATTTTAAAACAGAATCAATAATCATCACATAAATGCAGTTTTAACTATAATAGTAAAATAAATATTATAAATTTTACATACAGTAATCAATGGAGGAAAGCATAGAGTCCAACTGCAAATGGATTGAACACCAATCGTACGGTATGCTTTAAAATATTTGGTCATATGCTCTTTTAGAAAATGGTTTGATAATTTTAGTGAAGACAATGAATGGCCAATAATCCTACTAAGTTAATAAACCACATCTCCAACGAAATCAGGCTTGCTTATTCTTAGTTGTAAAAGAGTGTTTAAATTACAATTAAATTTTAATTACGATGGTAGATCTATGTTAAATATTGTCTATTGCATGATAGCGTTAAGTAGGTTGCTAGTAAAAAACCAAAAATGTATTCATTTAAACCACTAAATACGACTGCACGCCCGACTAAGAAATATTTATCCCATATGATGTTGCATGGGGTACAGATAAATTTTAATTACGATGGTATCAGTTTGTGAAATATTTTCGTAATGTATGATAATGTTAAGTAGTAGCCAGAAATAAAACCTATAACTGCATTCATTCAAAACATCCATACGACTGCACGCCCGAACAAATCTTATTAACTAAGAGAAATATACTCTATATGATATTGCATTAGGTTCATCACCATCTAAATGTGGATAGTTAGCGATATAAAAATCATCATTGTTTTAATAGATTTTAGTTACTATAGTATTGTTAATGATAGGAATGTATATATCTAAAAAGGTTTAAATATCTCTGAAGTGTTTGTTTTATTCAATTTAATTTCAATTGATAAATAGATATACAAATATTTCAGTAACCATTTGATCAAAGTAAGGATTATTCCTGTTAAGGATTTCATATTGGTAAGTGTTATATTTGCGATCCTTAAAGATCGTCCAGCTGTGCTTGTGGTATTCTTAGTTCTTTCTATTCGACTATTTTCTACTTGGGTGGTTCCAGTATTTCCCACTTGAATACTTTTTAATCATCCTTATATGGATATATGGCCTGCTTTTTTGACAGCTTATCTGTGATATGCAGGTATCAAAACCTCTGATTCCCTTTCAAAATTCCATTAATTTAGTTCCGCAGACTGTTTTTTTCTTTTAGGGCACACGCATTCTTTAACTTTGGGACCATACGTCACTTTTCATGGAATGGCACTAATGTGGCACATTGAAGGTTCCATGATAACCGCCGTATGAAAACATCTGCGGATGTTTCAAAAATCCAAATTTTACCATTTCATGTAAAATGTTGAATACTGCTTACACCGATGGTGGAGGCGTGGACGGTAACTTGCATTTCCGAGTACCGTCCACGAACAGGTTCCCGGTTTGATAACGTAATACATTTATAATTCATGACAAATATTTTCGACGCTTATTACTCAGGTGATAACAAAGTAAGTAATCTAGATTGATGGGATGCATTTATTGATAACTATATTTAATTATTTCAATGTTGACTGTGGGGATAGAATATTCACTTGTTTATTTGGTGGTTTTTATATTAAATTTATGAGTTTAAGTATTAAGAATAAAAACTGACACTATTGGAGTCATGTTGATTTATCTTATTTATATTGGCTGTACATTGTCTTCGAATGTCTTAATTAGTTTTAATACGAGACTTACATAAGATTGCTTTATAATAACGGGCATTAAGCTTATAGCTACAATAACACATTAAATTGGCGATATCAACCAATTGACCACCGGGGTAAATTGTGATTAAGATTTTAAAAGCACTGCACTAATTTCACATGATTTTTTCTTTCAGTAAATAACGAACAGACGGACACAATGTTGGGAAGTTTTCTTCAGAAGTCTATAGCATTTTTCTTGTTTACATTAGAGTGTTTTCATATATGGGGTCATACACTGATTTTATTTCGAGTGCGGTTACCTCCGCGGGAGGATTTGGTCCGAATTAGGTACTACTTCTTGGTCGAGCTTCTCACAGTGTTTTCATCATCAATGCTGTTTACGGGGAAGCTAAAATGGCTAGCTGCTTGTCAAGTAATTTCGCATGCATTCTACTTCATCTTCTGGGAGAAGAATTGGGTGACTAGAAAGGTAAATATTACAGGTAGTTTACAAGCATAAAATGATAAAAAAATCTTTGCTTTGGGAAGGGGGTTTGTGTCTACGTGTGCGAGTGCGTGTGTGTTTCTTTTTGGGGCGGAGGTTGTGCTTTTCGTTGCCCGATTTGAACAGTTATGGGTCATTTAGAACATTTGTTGAAAAACGGAGTGAGCGATTTATCTGAAATTTTGCACGTGGGTTACTGCTCTAGATCAACATGAAATGGTATATCAATCTAAAATATTTTTACTCCAGTAAGTCAAGAAAAACCTCAAAGGTATCCTCATAATAGAAGAATTATGATTTTGTCACTGATAAAAGACGACTGTCATTGTTTTTCCAATCTGGAGAAATTATGCCTTTACATGATCAGCAAAGTCCTTGATGAGATCATGGAAATAGTCAATGTTAGAGAAAGCTTAATATGACTAATGAAGTTATTTTACTTTGAGATATCTTAATATATTTACAAGATATGTGTTAACAATATTAGGGACAAGACATTTTTATGGTCTGCTTCCACTGGTAAACAAAGAAGTTTTAAGGTCTTATCATTTCTTGTTCAGGAGTTCTACTTTGGCTTTTCCGTCCATGGAAACATCAGTAATAATTTAATCATTTTTTACCAAGTGATTAGTTAACAATATTTTTCTGTTGATCTTAAGCATATCGACGCTGACCATTTATAACACATTTGAAAACACAGAAAGAAGCGGAATTTATGATGGCTGTATAAAACCTTAATAGTTCGCAGCACGTTGTCAACAAAATTTAAATGGCATGTTTATTGCCTTATAAAATGGAAATAGATTGTTAACTTAAGAAGAAAGTGTAAATTTAATCATCAAATCAGTGTTTTTGAGCCATCTTTCACTTTTTGCTTTTGAGACAAATAATTATTTACCCGTAAAAATTATATATATTTGATAACTTCACAATAAACATAATCAAAATATAAGTTCAGACTTTTCAGTGACTACTTTTTGAAATTATTTCTCTTTGTGGTATAATGTACCTCACTTTTACTTTCGCTTAAACATTCAAACATAATCAGGACTGTTTGCAGCAAAACAAAGCTGAAATTGATGAATTTCTTTTTTTAAATTATGTATAAATGTCAGGTTGTTAAACTTGAATTATCACAGAAAAAGAAATCATAATTTTTGTGTTAGATGTAATTTAATTCTTTATTTAACAACATCAAACAAATACCTTCTATATAACACACTATGCGGTTGGTTATCTCCGGGATTTTTACATATGTAAGTGTTTTTAGTTAGTTTTTGAATTAAGGGAAATCGTACAATCATTCTTCAAATTATGTAAGTGAAAATAATAAGTTAAATATTATAGACATTTATCTTTTTCAGCTCGAGCTAGCTTTAGGATCGTCGAATGTCCGTCGTCCGTCGTCCATCGTCCGTGCACATTTGTTCTTTAAAACTCTAGCAGTCACATTTTTGCCTCAATCATCATCAAACTTTGTCAAGATTTTTGTCTGTGTAACAGCTCGGATACATTTAAACATGGGTCATCTCGGATGAAAAACTAGGTCACAGGAGCTAAAAATAGAAAAATCTTGTTATCACTCTTGTAGCAACTGTTTGATCCAATATCCTGGAAACTGGTCTGAAAGTTTGTTTTGATGATTTCTAGGTCAAGTTTGAATATGAGTCACCTGGGGTAAAAAACTAGGTCACACTGCTCAAACATAGAAAATCCTTGTAAATACTTGTCACATTTTTGACTGACTTGTCATGAAACTTGATCAGCCCTCCTGTCCTGTTTAAATAATACTGATTATTCATGGTTGCAAAAAAGTGTCCACTTTAAACTTGGAACAGTCCATTCGAGTATGCAGTGATTTCAAAATCAAAATATAAAGATTGAGCAAATAGTCCATGCTGACAGGAAGCAGAACTTGTTTGTATGGCAACTGTTATAATGATATGTCGCTTTGAATAGTTATCATTATACACATTTTGTTAAAATTGTACCTTTTTATATAACGGTACAGATGCGTGAATTTCAACACTTATATGATTTTATTTAAGAATTAATTGAAATGAAATATACAAGTTTACGTTATTAGTCGTCTTTTAATTGTTAAAGTAAAGAACCTGGCAATGCAAAACCTTTTTTAGTTGGCGGAAGTATTTGTTGTTGTGCTTTGATCTATGTTGCACTAATTGTGTTCAAAGCTCGAACCAATATTCTTCTGATTTCTTGCTTAATTTATACGACAGCTTTACGTTCATTTAAGGTGTTGATCTTCTATCTATATTATTTATTTAAATTCTCACTTTATCGTTATCTTTTAAACTCTTCACCTGCTGGAACCAAAATTTTATGAACCTTTGTCATCAGTACACAGTCAAACCAGCCTGCACAACAATGAAGTTTTACCCAGGTCTAATACTTTTTGTAGCTTAGTTTTTTGTATTTTGATATTGAATCCTTAAATGGGCTGTTCCTAATAAAAAGCAGCTTCAGGGAAGTCATACTTTTGTCTTTAAGATTGTTACATGGAGCTCATTAGACTGGTTTAAAAGCGACCTCAGAACACGTTGGGAACTCGACTCAATTATTGGTACCACATTTGATACTGTGGTCCATATATGTATGGCGTACTATTTGGGACAATACCTGGATGTTGTAGAAGTAATAGTTTCCTTGTCGATCGTACACGTGGGCGTACTCGTGATGCTGTTCAGACCTTATTCTTCTTGGGCCTCTCCAGGGAAGGAACCTGTCTGGATTGAAAACAGAATTCACCCTGAGATACTTACATTTTAATTTGGAATATTAAAAGCAACTTTCTAGTTCTGTTTTTTCCGAAGACAAATTTGACTCAAAATGTTAAAAATATGTTATTCACCAATCATGATTTCATTAGATGACTTGTTTAACAAGGCGAGAAATGTTACAGTTTATGTAGCATGGATTTGCTAGTTATACATATTAAATTTTGTATATTGCCATCTTATTCTAGAAAGAGCAATGGCCAGAATATACATGCGTGTTACAGACAGGGCAGTGCTATGTATCAGTACATATGATATAATTAATCGGATAATACACTATCAATAAAAATCTGAAAACTGATGGTATGACTTTCATAGCTATATGAACCAGGAGAAAATTCCCTTTATAAGTTTGTTCTTAGTTCAAACGTGTCAAATACTTCCTGATATAAAAAGATTCCTACAACTAATTGTGTTGAAAGAGCATAAAAATTATACTTAAAATTCAGTTTCTCACTGTTTGAAGTAAAATTAGTTAAACAAGTTAGATAATAATGAAAGGATTGAAAACACTGCCTGGCTTTTCAACATCTGCGGAGCACTACTTTTTGGAGATAGTAGTTGTCGCTGAAAAGTGCTGCAGGCCTTGTGTTCATTTAGTTTTAAGGATCAAAATTTAAAACTAAACATTTCCAATGCTTATTCTTGTAGCTTTAATCTTTAATATAACCTTAATTAAAGCTTGCTTGGAAACGCATGTTTTCGTTGTTGTTTGTTTTCTTCTATTTTACAATTACATTATTATTACGTCTAGTAATTGCACATTTTACAAATGATCCAGATATTGGTCGTAATCTTAATATTGATCGTTATTTTTTTCTTATTTTTGGCTTGCTGCCACGGCCGCAATCCATTTGTTTTGGAAAAGTTGTTCCGGTTAGTTGCTTTCCTGCTTACATTTGTTAGTGCATGACTGAACGTGAAACCAGTCTATGTTTTCGCTGCAATCGTGTCAATCGCAACTTTTCGGCCCTTTCCGTCACTCTTCAGATTAATGATAATAGCCGAGGCAGTTCCGATTGCAATCGTAACAATTCGGGCGATTCCGTCATACTGCGGAATCAGACGAAGTAATATTACGGAAATCTAAGCTATTTTAGTTACTTCGGTAATCCCAGTTTGTTTATATAAAAAGGATTTCTATTTTTACTTGATTTATCGGTTTAAAGCGTAAGTAGAAGGAAGAAATAAATTATAAACGAAATTGTTCCGTTTCAATTCTTTTTCAAGACGCAAAAGTTAGTTTCTTTTATAATTGGTTTTTGTCTTTATTAATTTTATACAATAGAGAATGGTTACTGTAGTAGTATTCCGTCTCCAAAGGGCGGTCCTGCTTACCAAAAGATCGTGACCGAATCACACAGAATATTAGTGCATGATCGAGTTATATTATAATCTACTGAGTCTTTTATTTAAACGCAATTCTAACGTAGAGTTTAAACGTCTTGGTGAGGTAATTTAAAAATAGCCCATGCATATCATTAGCCTTACCACGTGCTGTTCTACAGATAGCGCATCCTGTGTTGTCGGTATATCTGTGATCATAGATATTTTAGGTGTAACATAGTTGATACATGCTTATTAATCGGTACCACGTAACGAAGTCTTTTAGTGCATTAACTTGTCTATAAAGCTGCTATATAAATGAAATTAGCAACTGCCAAAACGAATGACTCTCTCTGCGAAAAAAGTGGTAATTAAAATGTGCACACTTGTTTCCCTTCAGTATGATAGATAGATCTCCACGCGGGAGAGCCAATGTTAGTATTTTTACGATTTATTATTTTCTTTATTAGATTTATACAATAGAGAATAGATTTCAAATCGTTTTTGACAAAAAAAATATTCGTTTTTACAAAAAAAAATTGTTACTGTTATCGTCAGCATGTTCCTGTTCAGTTATAATCAGTGGTCCTTCTTTTGTCCAAATTTGCATGCATAACACTGGTGCTCAAACAAATGGGCACAGGTGCTCGTCCAGTCTTGGGCTTACCCTACCTATCCTTTTAAAAGTGAAACTTTTTTTTCGAAAAAATAAAAGACTGAACAAACCCTTTATGATATACAAATACCGTAATTCAAAAAAAATTGTGATAGTAAATTAAAACAAAAAAAAAACAATTTTAAAGGGATGGGATGATGGCACAACTGAGCAAGCCTTTCCTTTTATACCCAGTTATTCTTGCATTTTATATTGTTATTATATAATTTATAAAAAAAATTTCTATTAACAATATACAAACTTATTATGCTTTGTTAATGTAACATATCATTTTGAACATAACATGCTAAATGTTTGTTTCACAGATTTTTTAGATTTTATTACAAAATAAATTTGAGCAATATACCCATGAGTCTAAAGTATATACACGCACACGCACGCCGCGCACATATAGAAACATTATATCAAGGTCGTTGTACAAATACAACATATATTTAACATGCAATTGAGACTGACGTTTGGTTTATTATAAACAGAATAACCATATTATCATACTATAGCATTATGTTAATAAGCATAAGTTTCACATAATGATATCTATTAAGTATCATTACATTTAACTTCCAAATATAATTTACAAGTATTAAAGATTTGTTCTTAATTCAGACATTTTGAAAATAACATTGATGATTTTCTTTTAACATTTTAATTTTGCTATGTTATCAATTCCATAATTATATTGACGTGTATTTGAACTTTTCCAAAAATATTTATTTATAAGCTTTTTTCTCAAAACATTGTTCAGGGGACATTCCAATAATGCATGAAGTACAGTTTCTCTGTGAAGAAGTCCTAACACGTGATCAAGATTTCCTAAACTTTTCAATATTAATCATTGACAAATATATAATTGAAAGCCAAAATCACAAAAAAATACATAACAGGCAGGCTTACCACATTGAATTTGGTTTAAGATGTAAATCTCTACACATAAGGTCATACACAACTTTGACATATTTTGTACTACTTGCAATGTTTTATAACGTTAACAACTCTCATTGTTTTCAAAACTCAAGATATCTTCAAGTAAAATTTCAAATATTGAGTGATAAACAATAATTTCCCTTATACTACCCTTTGTGGTGTTATAAGCCAAACACACAAGTAAATCATTTTCTTAATTAAACAATGTTTTACCAAATATCAGTCATGACAAACAGTCACCTGAAAAATTGAGCCAGTTCCACATGTTGCTTAAATTTGTGATGGACATACATTGTTAAACCATCATATTCTCTTTTTGTACATTTAGATTTTAACTATCTATCTAAAATATAATAATCAAAATGGTTACTTAACAAGGTCTCTGTTAAACGAATGATATCAACAAATGTTTCCTTTTAATTTTAATTGAGTCTAACTTACTGTTTCTTTTCCCTATATATCTATCCCTCAGACAAAACTTGATCTTATGTTCACCTTTGCTGTCCTTTTTCTGCCCTTAGTGTTTTTGTTTTTTTGTTTGTTTTTTTTTGTGGGGGCGATCGAGAGGGGATTTCACTCTATGCACAATCCAGTTTATACGTATTTAAATCCTCGACTGTCGGATCGTTCATTTTAATTTGTTAAACATTTTATATCAAAATATGTATATAATTTTGTAATATATTTGGTATTCACTTTTGAAATGCTTGGGTTTTTATTTTGTTCTAAAATTTTATTTTGACTGTTCAACAGTAATACCTTTATTCTTCAGTTCATTGATAACAAAACACAATGTTTCATTCCATTGTAAAATTATCATAAAATATTTGAAACATAGATTTCATTATTACATCAATTTCTAGAATTTGTTTAATTGGGTTACGAGTATCTTGATGTAGAGCTTGTAACTGGTTGGATTTTCACAGGTGACGATCTTACAAGAAGCGGACAGTTGTACGGTCCGTTGTAGTTAACACCATGAAAGCGGCATACAAGCAAGTTTGCCATAATGTAATGATATTATGTCAACAACGTCATTATGGTTATGTTAGTTCAACACACTCTTAAACAATATAGATTTCCTTTTTGTAGGGTCGCATATACGCATGTGATACTTGCAGTGAAATACCCAAAAAACGTTGCATATTTCAAACACGCATAATGCACGATTAAATAAATGCTTTTATACATTTAACTGGAGATGAACGTTATCATGCATAAATAAAGCGTTTACTTAAAGTTCATGAATTTTCATAACGTGTTATCTTTTATATCTCTCATTTTGCAAATAATTTGCTCTTAAACTGTTAGATTTTCTCATGGATAGGTGATTTGCTCAGAATTCTTATAAAATTGGTTACCAATAATAAATCATATCACTTTTTCACTAACCACGAGGTGTGAAAATACACGGAAATACCCATAAATTCAATAGTATTTATTAAAAGTTTATATACACTATATTGATGCTCAATATATTCTCCTCATAAAGACAAAAAACCCATAACAATTAAACAAATTAAACACAATATGGTCAACACATGCATATATTCGCAAACATAGTAAAGCACATACGACGCAGTTTGAATCTTGTTACAGCGTCACAACGTCGTTAGCTGTGACGTCAAAATATACTTAAATCTTTCGAAGTATTAGCCGCTGTACGATTGGGTAAATGATTATGTTCTCATACCATAAGGAGTACTTTTGTTGCAAAATTTTGGATGTCGCTCAACGCAAGTGCGCTTACAACGCTAACCTATGATTATTGAACTGTTGTTTGAATTGATTTTTGGAGCAATTAAAAAGTCTTAAGCAGCATCAAATATGTTTCATTTTCATTCTCTATATCATCTATTTTAAAAACGTAAATATGAGCATGATAAAATAACATGCTAATATTTAACATGTGCGAAAATGAATATAAATACAATTTTGTAATTTTCGTCTACCGTACTTAATAATTCCTAGATTAGCCAGCAAAAGAATCCATAGATTTTTATTTACTAAATTCCAATCATAACTTGAATAAGTTTGAGATAAGTAAAATATTTAAAACAAATCTTAGATATACACGTCCGCACACAAAACCAAATTTTGTCTTTTTTTAAGCGTTGCAACTAGGGAGAACATTAAAACTACGTCTAATAAATATGTAAAAAAATATTTTGCCTAAAAACCAAGCATTGTACAGTTTCAGTAACCTTTTTAACAATATTGTTGTTAATCTCATCAAACATTGTTAATAAATTACAATTTTAAACGGAAAACCCCACGGTAACACTAAAGTTCGTATAAGAATTTTAACATGCAAATAAAGACTATAATCAGTTCGTGTATGTGCTACGTCACAGTGTTATAGTTTCTAAACGGAACACAGCAAATTTGAGATTTTCATGTGCAAACACACTTAACCGTTTTAGCTTCACGGTGCACTGAGCATGGCGTCCAGGAAAGAGTAATCATCTCATAAAGATATCAAATTTGTATGAAAACAACCGTTACAAT